ACGATACTATATATATATATATATATATATATATATATATATATAGCTTAGAGACACTTTTTATCCTACACTCAAACTATATTTTGGCATGTGAAGTTTCTTTCACGTGCCTCTATGTATATACGAGCACTTCTTCTTTTCTTGTGCACCGCAGTTGACGCGTTCGCGATGTGCGTCGACATCGTTTTGCTTTGCTGTAATATCTAACTGTTGTTTGTAGAAAAGCAATTCGCAACTGGTTCTGCAAGGTAGACTCCGTTACCCTGTACCTCTGAAGAGAATTCATTGGCATTAATTGAGTTTTAATCGTAAATCGTGACATTGCAATGAAAATATGTTGCCATAGCATTACAAAATTAAAATTTGATAAATATTCTTCTTGTTATACAATCCGAAAAATTAAAGATTGCCAATGAATTTTTTTGTCGCTTTTTACGTGTCGCGTACTAACATTAATTTAAAGAGAATGCACGCTTTGGAATATCAAATATTGTTAGTGCATGTGTATTTAATAAATTGTTTTAAAAGTACATTATTTAAATAATGTACATTTTATTTACTTGGTTTAATTATTTTATTTTGCGGAAGAATCGCATGTCGGAAAATCTTTTCACGAGGTCTTTGTGGGAGGATTTTGTGGTCGCATTTTAAAATTTTTTAAATATTAATTATACGTTTGCTGCTTTAATAATGAATATCTATCGCATCTATTTGTTACTTATGTTAGTCTCTAACATCAGTTTGACAACTTGCACGAACCAGATTATTTGCGAAATCACAAATTTCTGGCTTGGCGTTTTTTTCTATTTTCTTAATTGCATATCTATTTCCTAGCAAGAAATTTAATAGGAATTTTACAAATGATGTAATATACGTTATATTTTATCGACAGGATATTCCAGTCTCCGAGAATACCGATCATTACATGTTTCAAAATCTCGAACCTAATCAGAATTACTCTGTCAGTGTAACTATGAGAAATAGTGTCGGGGAAGGTCCACCTGCAATTACCAATATTTGTACCTTCTCAAAACCTACTAGTACGTAAGAAAACCAATATATTTTTTAATTTAAAATATCTACTACACGAGACCGTGACGATAATTCAATTTCTCAAGAAAATAGAAAATTTTTCAATAGTAAAAAGAATTTCGTTCTTTGTAAAAAAAAAAAAAAAACAACACACACACAAAGAATAGAAAATTATTCGAGATAAAGATTGCCAGTCTTACTATTTTAAATTGCAAATTTTAATCTTTTTAATAGATATTTGGTCTATTTTTATATTGTAAGTTTTAAAAAATCAAAATGCTGACTACCGATTTTCAGACTTTGTAATTTATCATCTATAATCAATGAGATCAAAATTCAAATTTCGGAATGACTAATAAGATAAATTTTTTAGTCAAGGACACGAAACAACCGAGTCTTATCCTGAGTGGTGAGCACAAGATCATGAAGCAGGGTGCCAATATGTTGGACGATCCCAGCATCATTTATCAGACCAACGATGTGATTCGCGGAGTTGCGATACATGTGGCGTCCGCTCAGCTATTTATCTCCACTTCGGAGGGTTGCGTCTATCGAATTTCAATCAACGAGCAATCCGCGCCGGAAGTCATTTTGAGCCCCGGTGGAGTGAACTTCAAACCTTTGAGTCTTTCCATCGATTGGCTGAATCTTCACCTGTATATCTTGGGAGAAGTTGAACATGCGACGACAGTGTGGCAGATAGCCAGATGCAACCTGGATGGCAAGAGCTTGACGGTGGCCATGGCTGGATTTTTAACTCGACCCTCGCACATCGAGGTTGATCCTTACAACGGATACCTTTTTTGGGTCACTAAAGCGGGATTGTTTAGATTAGATTTGGCCGATATCAGCAACGGTGTGAAACACGAGGTATCAATTATTTCTATTTACTATTGTGCGTTATTATGCGAGGCTTTTTTATTATTATTATTTTTATCAAAATTTAAGAGTGCAAAATTTTTGCATATTTAAAACTGATTTAATATACCTTAACTGTTTTAATATACTTTTGCAATATTAATATTAATTTTTAATTTTTTGTGAATAAAATAATTTTTGGTAAAGCTTTGTTACAAAGACATTTTGATTTGTTATGACAAAAATAATGATTATCTTTTAAAAAAATTCTTTAATGGAACTTTTTTTCTAGGTTCAACCATATTTAATTCTCGACGATGCTCATTTAGGTGCTTTTATGGTAGACCATACGAATTTTCGATTACTTGTCCCTCATCACACTCAAAACACAGTGATATCCGTATCGTTGGACGGTCGCGAGATTGTTAATCTTCGTCCCAATACGCAAAAACCGAAATTCAATAACGTGGTTTCACTAGCCATGGCAAACGGATTATTTTATTGGACTAGTGGTGAAGAAGTTCTTACCGAAGTCTATCATTCTGGTCAAAACAGATACTTCCACAATTCCTATCCAGACAAGTAATTTTCTTTCTAAAAGATTTCAGAGATTTTTCTAAAAAAAATTATATTAAAAGTTTTTAAATTTGACTAAGAAATTTAAAAAAATTAATTATAAATTAAGCATATTTTAATGAAAATTAAAATAGTAAAAAGTAAAAAACTTATATTTTATATAATTCTTTTAATATGTAATATCTGCATGTATATTATTTTCTAAAAACAAACTGGTACAAACTCTTATAATATGTTTGTTAAAATCTGCATTAATAATAACACTGCGAAAATATTTTCTTCTTCAGGTCTGACATCTTCGTGAGCGTGACTGTGTTTACGAACGCAAGTCAGCCCGTTCCTGTCCCAGTGAATCCACCCACAGGAGTGCAAGCTGTTCTGGGGGCGGAAAGGGCTAAAGTTTCCTGGCAAGCTCCTCATCTACTGGGCGGTCAAGGAAAAGGCGCTTGGCAAAATTGGTCATATGAGCTCGAAATCAAGGACGAATCTACCGGCGAAACTATCTATCAGAGAGATATTTCCGGATCATCTCACACCGTTCATAATTTGCGAGAAAGATCAGAATATTCGATCAAAGCTGCGGCCTACACCAGCGCCGGTAGAGGACCGTGGTCTACGGAGTTTCGAGGAAGAACCTTAAGGTAAATAAATAATTTTATTTGGTTAATAAACTTAATAGATAATAAATTTGATTTATTGAATCAATCTGATCAAATTGATTTGCAGCACTTTTAAACTTTTTTTAAAAGAATTAAATTTTTTATACAATGTTCCTCTATTATATATCTTTTTCTAAATTTTTACATGTGCAAGATTTATATATTTACAAAATATTTTTTATTTTGCGCAAATTATTTTAATTATTAATTAAATGAAAATGTGCATTTAGAAATGGCTCACATGCGTCTATCTTATGGTCATCGAACGAAGGGATTTTAAGAAGTGACGTAACTGGCGAAAATATCGACACGCTAGTTAACAAGGCGACTCTGAAGGAGTCCGAAAACGAATTTCATATCGTCGACGTTAGTTGGTATAAGGATGTGCTGTACATTGTAGGAAATAATTCCGCTTTGTATCGTTATAATATTAGCAGCCATCAAAAAACGAAACTCAACATACATTCGGTAGGAAGTGTCGCCGTAGACTGGGTATCGAAGAAGCTGTATTGGGCAAATCCAAAACAACAGATAGTAAGAAATTATTAGTTTAACATTTTTAATTTAATTTAATTTTAATTTAAGTTAAAATTAATTACTAAACTTTATTTTTTGCATTTTTCAATCAGATTGAAAACAAGAATATTTGAAATAGAATACGATACGTTACTCAAATCTTTGATAGCTGTAAAATTTTCATATATATTTTTTTATATTTTATGAAGTAATATATATAAAAAAAATATGTTCGTTGTATAGATAACAAGGGCAAATCTGAATGGATCTCAACAAGAGCCAATGTCTATCCTGGCAATTGTAAAGGAACTCATGATTGATTCTCTCGAAGCGTACTTGTATTGGTCTACTGGCCACGCCGTTGAAGTAGCACGATTGAATGGACAAGACAGAAGATATTATCATTTGGATGAAATTTTTAATGGCAAGCAAGTGATGGGATTAACTCTTGACACTGAAAATAGATATGTCTATTGGATCGTACGAAGTTACGAAAGTGGATCCATCGTCTATCGTGCTCCTACGTCCGAAAGAATTCCGATGAATCATAAAATTATTCCGGAAAAGGTTACTTTATGCATTAATTTTTACAGGTGTCATTATTTTTTTTTAACAAATAATGAAATCATAAATCTCACGCGCGTCAAAAATTTCAATTTATACACCTTAATAAAATAGATAATTAAAAATCAAAGCAATTATATGAATAATTAATTTTTAATTTAAGGTTTCTGTTTTGCAATATCCAAACATGCAAGGACCTCTGTGTTATTTTTCCGAGCATCTGCTATGGCTGCAAGACGATAGAAACGCAGTGATCGGCGATCTCTTTGGCCAGAATACCGCTGTGATCAACGGAATTACTCTGTCCGGTTTATACATGGTAGCTGTTATGGATCCCGCGCTTCATCATTATCCGAAAAATCTGACATCGGAAACCGTGGTAGTTTTGCCAAACGCGGTCGATCTCGATAGTATAAGAGTCGAAGGGACCTGGCGGAACTTCAACATATCATGGGATCCCGTGAAGAATATCAACTACGGCACGGTTTTTTATGAAGTAAAATTCGCGGATTATATTAATACGAATTCGAATCCGGAAATCACGATCGAAACGACAATGTTTTACAACAATTCGGATCAGATCGTGCCCTATTCCGTCCTGGAAGTCACCGTGAAGGCTTTTACTTACTGGGAAACGGCGCACCATTCTCGAAAGATCTTGAGATCTCCGGAGAGTGAGCCGAGTCAACCAACGTCTCCCAGAGCATTCGTGGAATTTTACAAAAAACTTCTAAGCAATGATATCGACATTTTTACGATATTTAGGTACAAAATTTAGATCTGTAATGCAGATTTTCACCGTTTTAAAGATATACATATATATATATATATATATGTGTGTAAGGCTTTACTTTGTTACTAATTTGCAGGAAATAGATACTAAAGAATTTAATTTGTTTTTTTTTTTTTTTAAAGTATGGAATCAACCTGAATTTACGAACGGAGTGATCCAAGGGTACACGGTTCAGTGTTGGTACATCGATAACCAGAAGGAAATGTCAATCTGCGACGATTACGGCATCCCAGCTACAATATTGGAGTTTACGGTGCATAATTTAAGCCCCAATACGACCTATTACTTTAAGGTACGAGCGTATACCAAAATCGGTGCTGGCCCTTACACGGAGCCGATTAGTGTATCGACCACGTATGAGAATCCGGTGCCTGAATTACTGGTCGCCACAACGGACGCCGTGAGGATATCAGATCTTGACAGGGAGGCCAACTACACGCTCACCAGGCACGTCGCGACGGAGGTCAATTACTTGACAGCGGAGAACAAAATTTACTGGATCAGCGAGATGCGGGAGCTGGTGACGTCGGATATGAACGGGGCCAACGCAACGAAAATACTTGCTTTAAACAATACCGCGCACAGTCTCTGCGTCGATTGGGTAGCAAGAAATCTGTATTGGGTGGAATACGAATATAATAAAGATGAACCGTGGAAAATCAGCAGCAGCTACATCATGAAACTAGATTTAATAATGTGGCAAGCAGGCACAGTTAAACATGAGATCATCGTGAGGAGGGGAGGACGCATTCCGATTTTAGATCTTCTACCATCTTTGGGGTACTCTAATATTTATTTGTCTAAAATATCTCTTTATAAATATGTATTATAAACATATTTTAAAATTATTTTTTTAAACTATCGACCTATATATCGACTAAAATGATAAATTAATAATAACATTAAATAATAAAATAGTATATAAAGTTGTAAAAAGTATATATAGTTTTGTAAGAAAATATATTTGTTTTAAAAGAAAACAATTTGTTTTAGAATTGTAACATAATAATAATAGAATAATACAAATATTTTTCAGATTTTTATATTGGATTGAGACAAATGAGGGAGGTACAATAATGCAATCGGATCTGAATGGAAAATATGTGCAATACTTTTTCGGAAACAATGATAGCTCATGTTCTTGTCCACACAGACCGTCATTAATATCCACGCTAACGGTTGATAAAACTGACATTGAAAAACCGATGATGTATTGGATATCATCGGATGGACGTTTAAATGTGGCTGATATTCACAGTTGTTCATGCAACGTGATATTACGAGCGAGCTTTAAAACTGCTGGTCTCACATTTCTCACAGTCGACAAAATGAACATTTACTGGTCCAACGAAACAAAAGACCAAATCTATTTCGTGAGAAAAGAGCATTCTTTCGATAAGGAAAACGCATCGCCGGAGCCGGAGCCGGAGGTAAAAAGCTTCTACCTGCCCAACGTACGTCGGATCAGAGCTCTGAGCAAGTCTTTGCAACCCTATCCCATCGCGAAGTGTCTGATACCTCGTCAAACGGGCTACGTCGTCGAGAGACTGAGCGAAACGCCGAACAGTATCGTCGTCAGTCTTCCGGAACCGAATTCTGAGCGTGATTGTGAGAATTACAGTTTACCTACCACGCTGTACACCATCCAGGTGTCCCGCTGTCCGAGGAACAATTCCGACAAGTGCGAGGTGACCAGAGTGCAGACGTACGAGCGACGTCACGAGATCCAGAATCTGATGCCATTCACGGAATACACGCTGAGATTGGCGCTGAGCAATTTCTACGGTAATCTGCTGACGACGAAGCTGGAATTCGGGGCGGAAGTGGTGCTGAAGACCACCGCGGGCAGACCCAGCAAGCCGGAGAACGTCACGGTGCAGGTTCTGACGCCAACGTTGGCGGCGGTCTATTGGATGCCGCCCAAGATGCTGAACTCCGCGGTGGTTCATTACGAGGTGCACTGGAGATCGATCCTCCTCCTGAACGGCATGCGGCAAAAAGGCGAACAGTTGATCAAAGAACCCGAGCGCATGACGGACGGCAGATTTTTCACGACGTTGCAGCCGTTGCTACCGGGACAGAACTATCTGGTGTACGTGCGCGTATATCCTGCCAATTTCAACGATTACTACAACGAGAGCCTCAGCCAGCTCATCCGTATGTACTCCGAACCGAACAATCTGACGGTGAACGGGATCACTGTGAACAGCATGAACATCTCTTGGATTCCGAGCGTTAATCTGACGGTCGGTTATATGCTGGAGTACAAAGACGTCGCGATGGAGGAATGGCAAATTGCCCGAAATATCGAGGTGAAGGAGGATCAAGTGACGTATTACATAGAAGGTTTACAGCCGCGTACTTTGTACAAGTTCCGCTTGAGACTGAAGTACCCTGAGTATAAGGAGGACTTTGTATGGCCGTCTGATGGGAGATTCACATTCCAAACACTTGGTAAGCATGAAAATATATGTTTCGATATTATTACAGAAATAAAAGGAACGGAGTTAACAAGAAAATTTCAAAAATAGAGAGCAAATAAAAAGAATTTGAATTATAATAATGAATTAATTTATGTAATAAAGGTGACGTCCCGAGCGCTCCAGGAATGCCTACGATAACGAGACTCCGAAATTCTGTCTATCAATTAAATTGGGAACCCGCGCAAGCTCATGGCTCGCAGGTGACTCTATATCGTCTGGAGGGTTTGATCATCGACGACAATTATAAGGAGAACGATGGGAATAACGAAAATAACGAGCATTGGAATTTGTATTATAACGGAACAGACAATTATTGGATAATTCCCGGAGACGTGGATCAGAAATATCAGTTTCGCGTGCAAGCCAAAAATGCCTATGGTTTCGGTGCTTGGAGTAAATTAAGCGCGATCGTTGATCTGACGGAGTCCACCGGAGGGATATTGGCTACACAACAGCATCTACCGCTGATGTTAGGCCTGATCGCCTCAGTCGTTTTTATCGTAATGTTGGCGGGCTCGTGTTACTTTTTCCGTAAGTATACTTTTTTTAAGTTTTCACCACACTTTTAATTGCAAATTAATTTCGGTAGAAAGGCAGATTGTTAAATTAAACTTATTAATGGAAGATAATTTGGATTTAATTACATTTACGTGATAATGCGCGATCAGACGAGTGTAACGATTGTAACGTTATCCAGCAGTGTATCGACAACATAAAGAAGACAAAAAGGCAGTTTTGCCTCCGATAGTGTCCGATGTCGAGTTAGCGACTCTCCGCGAAATTCCTCGCGGGAACTTTGTTCAGTCTAACGCGCTTTACGCCTCTACGTTGCAAAATGATCCGGATGATTCTGCGCTGCCCAAAATCAGACAAGAACAAATCACACTGGCAAAGTTCTTAGGTAGCGGGGCATTCGGAAAGGTGAGATCTAATTTTAGGAAAAATTTTGGCAATCTACAGAAATACAAAAATTAGAATCAAGAGAAAAAAATAAAATTGTTACTTTTTGTCATGTTAAAACAGACTTAAACGCAATAAAAGGATACTCTCATCAGTATCAAAATCTTATTTACAAAATTTATTAAATCCAAATATTTTCCAGGTATATCAGGGCATTGCCAAGGATTTAGAAGGATCGGGTATAAAGACACCCGTCGCCATAAAGATGCTGCGAAAGGATGCTTCTTCTCAAGAGAAAACGGAATTCTTACAAGAGGCCAGGCTTATGAGCCATTTTCGCCATAAACATGTGCTGAGATTGCTAGGCGTTTGCTTGGACACGGATCCTCCGTTACTCGTGCTGGAATTAATGGAGGCTGGTGATCTGCTAAGTTATCTGAGAGAGAGTCGGTCTTTGCAACTCACAGATCCGCACGCTTTGCGTCTCCAGGATCTACTCGCCATGTGCGAGGACGTCGCACGGGGCTGTCGTTATCTGGAAGAGTTGCATTTCGTGCACAGAGATCTCGCATGTCGAAACTGTTTGGTATCCGCGAGGGATCGCGAGAATCGCGTCGTGAAAATCGGCGACTTTGGATTGGCCAGAGATATTTACAAGAATGACTATTATCGCAAGGTACAATACAATATTTTGAGAAAGATGAAGAAAGTTTTGTAAGTTCTGTTCCCCCCCCCCTTGTTTATCTCTACGCGCAAGCGAAGTTTAAAAACAATAATTATCTCTGTTTATTTTGAGCGAAAGTTAAGCGAACGTTATTGCATGATTTAACGCCTTGTCTTCTTTAAAGATAAATACGATTCGAGTTAAAGAATTAACTTGCTATTGAAATTTCAGGAAGGGGAAGGTTTGCTTCCCGTTCGTTGGATGGCACCGGAATCCTTGGTGGACGGTGTTTTCACTTCGCAGAGTGACGTCTGGGCGTTCGGGGTGTTAATGTGGGAAATAACGTCATTGGGACAGCAACCCTATCCTGCCAGGACCAATCTAGAGGTGTTACATTATGTGCGTGCTGGCGGCAGATTGCCGAAGCCTCTTAACTGCCCGTCAACGTTACACCAGCTGATGTTGCGTTGTTGGAGCGCAGCGGACGCCAGGCCGAGCTTCAAGATTTGTCTCGAGAGTATCATCGTTCTGAGAAGTCATATAGAAGACGCGGTGCTGAACCCTGTGCACGCTGGGCACTTCCTGGCACGCAGAGGTGAATTACTATTAATTTTTACTTGTGCGCATGTGACTGCTTGGAGCAAAGAATTTTTACAAATGAATAGAATTCTAAATAAAATTATGCAATTTTTTACTCTCGCATTATACAAAACATAAATATAACCATGAACCATTCGTTCCGTTATCAAGTGCATAAATTGTTTATTACGAATTTGCATATAATGCATCGTTTGCATACAATAAGGTGCGAAATATTTCATTAGAAAAGCACACGTATATTTACGCATGCATCCAAGAATAAATAACTGGCAATAAATAAAAAAAATTATCATTACCTCATAAATTATATGAATGCCTCAAAATGAAGAATGTACGAAGAAAAAAAAATAAGCATGTTTCTCATACATTCGCATTCGCAATTCGACATTGTTAAATCATAAAATTCGTTTTTCATCGTGAACTTTAGCTCTAAAATGTACTGGAATATTATTCTGCTTGAATACATATTGATCATTGCATGGCTCATGCTTGCAGGCGTGTCTAACATGGCTTACTTTGCTGACGAGAATCAGAATCATAATAATTCAGGTAGGTCTTAACAAACATCATCTGCCTACATTGTCATTCTACCATTTCCAGAAGATGTTATTTCTTTCATTCTTCATCGAGCATATTTTTCCAATCATTGCATTTAACCCGTTACGCAATACGATTCGCAATCTCTGGGTATCTGCAATAAATAGAAATCATGTAACAAACATCATATACACACGTACGAGATCATATGATATATAGTAAAATTCTTAGTGTTTTGCATTTCAGTTACGTTAAGAAAGTTAACTTGTTCACTGTAAATCATAATCTTTACTTTGTATAGGAAATTCCTGGAAATCTAGTAGCTCCGAAGGAAGTCGGGACATGCAACCTTTTCTGCAAAACTCGAACAACGCCACGCTCAGCCCACAATCCAGTGAGGCTCCGAAGTATCTAGAGTTATTAGCAGACAACGAAGATGTTGTTTTAAGGGAGAATCCTACGAATGGCTACGAAGTACCTCGTTCGATCCACATCTCGGATCAGAATCTAGCGAATATAAGCAGCATCAGTTGCACGAGTCACGATCGGAAGAGCAGTCTGCCTGTGGAAATAACGGGAAAACGCAAGGAAAGTACAGCGGAGGGACAAAAGCAGTCCGATAGAAAGCTATATAAAAGATCATCGATCGCTAGTCTAAACTTGCCAGATCGAAAGGGCACGTCGATTTCGGAGATACCGGAAAAGTGCAACACGTTGGACGGCTCGAAATCATCGGTGAACTCAATCGCAAGGGCAACTCTGAAGAGGGATTCTTTCTCGTCTTTGAACGGCCAGCGGAAGTACAAGACCAGCTTGAACGAGCGAAGAGACTCCGAGGCGAGCATCGGGAACAGGAGCTGTAGCTCGCACAGCCTGGCGCCTTCCACGCGTCCTAGTTCGTCCTTGATCAATTCGCAGACGATCCTACCCACGTGTCTGAAGGGCAACGTCATCATGACGAATGTCGCCGTAAACGGGGAAGTGCCTTCGAACGAGAACACGGTGGCAAAGAATACGTTGCCGAAGGTTCAAAGGACTTCGAACTTGCAGAATGGCAAGGCGAATATACCACTCGTGATAAACAGCGCATTGCTGAATCTATTACGCAGGCAGACGCCCGTCGTCGAGGACGGCAGCAATATCGTCACTTATACAAATATAAATGCGGACGCGGTCAAAGTGAACGGATCATAAATTGTCGAGCTTTAAATTAATAGTAGATTTTAAACATTCGTATGAATCATAATATAAAGACGGCGAGATTCATACGAATTACTTTTGAACTTGAACGACATTAATCAAGGCAATTAAATATTCCAATATTTATCAAATATGAGAATAGATTTCACTCATTTCATACATTATACGTATTATTTTTGACGCAATTTTTTAAGTGATTCGTACAGTAGAGTTATTCTTCTTTAAAAAAATCCAGAATTGTCTTGTAGTTTGGTAGAAAATTCCTTGATATATAGTCGCTATGATTTTGCTCAAATTTCTTGTTTCTCTTCGTTTGTTTTTTTTTTTTTTTTATTTCTAAAGTGATGCCTTAAATATCAAACTATACACATTCATTAAGCTTTGCTTATATCATTAATGTCAAAGTATTTTGTATCTACAGAAAATTGCAGAATATGAGGAGCAGAGTTGAGAATATAGCTTTAAACTGCCATTTTAATGTACATACATAAACTTTTATACTCAAAAATTTGTTACGCAGATATGGCAGATCCTTTTGGGACATATGAATTTTGCAACTTTAGTGATGATCATGAAACTGTTATTTAATGTAGGAATATATTGATATAGAAAATGATAAATATGAAATATATATATATATAGAGTTTAATTTTATAATTATGATTTTAAATAACATATTTATTGAATCTGTGAAGTTTTTCACTGATCATTGTACAAATTTTATATTCGATGATAACTAAGCACAAATATGGAAATCAATATAAGAAATTGTTAAGTTTTCTATGTAGTTTTAATGATACAAAAAATGTAATTTTATTGCTTAAGATAAATTAGAATGTATATAATTTTATGAAGTTTATGGACTGACTATACTTGAAATATTTTCAAGTAGCTTTATAAGATAAATTATGGATCAGTGAATGTTACAGATAATAATTGTAAATAATATATTACAAATAATATACAAGATTAAACTTTCAATTATTTTTAACCTACAAAATACATACACGATATACTTTAAACTCTTTTTATGTTAGTCACAAAAAATATGCAAAAGGAAATAAGATCTATGTTCTATTATGGTTCTCAGTTAATCCTAAATTTACATATTTTCAAAAAATTTACTATTTTATACATATACATATAATATTAATATGGATTAAAAAGGATTTCAAGAAAGATTTTAAAGATTAAGAAGATTTTGTATCTACATATATACTGGAACTTGCTCTTCACCATATAGATACCCTTTGTTTCTCTTGATTTTTACATACAGCTTGTAATTTTTTTATCAGTCTTCATACATAGACATCTCTAAACATTCTTTAAAATTAGATTCCTAAAATTAAAAAAATACAAATTTTAATTTATATATTAAAAATAGTAATACAGAGCCATATATAATGAGAAAAAATTAAAAAAACTATTATTTTGATATATTTGTCGCCAACACAAAAAAAATTAGGCTTTTTATAATTATAAAATATTTGGAATAACTTTAAATCTTTATTATCTATATCTTATTTTATAGTGTCTCTATTATATTCCTGTAAGTATATAATACAATAATGACAATATAACAGGAAAAGTATAGATTTACCTAAGTTGTACTTGTAAGAGGTACATCATCATCGAAGGAATCATCTTTACTATGTTCATGTAACAGAACATATTCCCTGGTACTAAAGCCAAATCGTATCACATCTTTTTCCAATAATTCATGATATCTCCTTGGTTCCAATTTTACATTATTTACAAAGGTACCATTTGCAGACTCTAGGTCAATGATATATGGTCGTATTCTTCGACCCTCGATACCTCCTTCCTTTTGATAAGATACCAGGCGATATTGCAGAGCGGCATGTTGTTTAGAGCATGAGGGATGATCCAGAGGTATATCAGCTACTTTACGATCCCTACCCATGAGATATGCTGATTGTCGATGAATGTACAATGTGGGCAATGCCTTCTCGCCTTTAAAAGGATACAATCTCCATCTACGTTTGGGTTTCTTGGCATCCTGTGGTTCCGAATATTTTATAATCACACCATTGACAGTATTCATGTCCTCTGTCAATTTTCCTGACAGTTCAAAGTTGGGCTTATCCTTATCCTCTTTCACAGTCGATTTTCCCCAGTCCACGGAAGATTCCTTTTTTATTTTCGTTTCTTCTGGGCTTCTCCTCTGTTTCTGCTGATCGTTGCGTCTTCTGCCAGAATCATCCTTCCTGTCTCTACTCCGACTTCTCTCGCTCCGTTCCCTATGCCTGGGATGACTGTTCTCTCTCCTCGACGGCGATCTCTCGTGCTTCCTCTTCTCGCTCTGCTTTTCATCGTCCCTTCTGGAATGATCGCGTCTTCTGTGATCTCTATCTCTGCTTCTCTGCGATCTGTCCCTGTGTGCCTCATTACTTCTATCGCGCCGGTTCTCCCGATTATTTTTGTGTGTGTCTCGTCGGTCGATATTGCCGTGACTCGACCGCCAATTTGACATATTTCCCAAAGTTTATTCGCGAATCAAATCCCAAATTGATAAACGAGCGTAAATCGGCGATCCTAACCTAACTCGCTCAATTCAGCTCGATTATCAACTCGAATCGCAGCGGAATCGTAGCGAGTCACAATATTGCACGAGCGATATCGACGATTTCACAGCGAGAACAATGGCATGTAAATTTTCGTGCGATTTGTCAAAAAAATAATCCGACTTCACGATTTTACCGCGAGTCAACAATATAATTTAAAATCACACAGAGAATCTTCCGACACGCCATAAGCGTCAATGTTCGTGGCGCTCTCTGATTTGAACATTTCGAAGCATGATTTCCGACTAATTGACTAACAAAACATGCCGTGTGTTAGTGATAAAACATGAAAGCGGCTAAATCCCGGTTTTTCCCGTAGGATCATCAAAGTTCTATATATTATGTCATTACTATTGAATTTAAAAATGCGTGATTACATGCCGATAAATTTGCATTCTGGCGCATATCCGTATTGCATCTATAATTCATGGTTCAAGAATATATTTATATATATATATTTATATATATATATTTATATATTTATATAATTACTTCCGCATTTTTTTTATGATTAAAGTATTGATTAACATAGTATATATATATATATATATATATATATATATTATAATATATTAT